GAGCATAAAATCGTCGAAGGATGACTTCGAGTGTAAGTATACAGACATAATTGTATATTTTATCGTAGATCATATTGAAATCGGTATGGGTATATACATATACATGTATGTATAAAGAATGGTCTTGGTTGAACATCTATAAGAGTGCAAAAAAATATATCAAAACAACCAAAATAGGCATTTAGAAGTAATCGGTTGATTCTAATATCATCTTAACTGGTTCTAGCTTTAATAATCATATGCCAATTTTATATCAAAATCAGTCAATGAATGCAAACATATCACTTTTCAATGAAGTTGTTCATGAAAGACAATCTTATAATCCCTTAATTTAAACCAGTTTTCGGGATGCAGTGAAAATCAAAAGACAAAATAGCTTATCAACATAAGCAGAATTTTATATTTGTAATAGTTTATTATAGGACAGGTAACTTTATATCTTTCTTACATGTATTTTAGAAATGACTTGCAGGTAATTTCGATTAAAAAAAAATTGATAATATCTTAACGTGGTGAAATATAAAAGATTGATGATTTTCAAATGACAGTGTCAAAAGAAAATTAGTGCTATGACACATTAAAAGAATAAATGTTTAAAAGGTCAAACAAAAACTCACAACTTAATTTTCTCATGATTTTAGATCCTCCAGATCGAGAGGTTAGAGCTATTGTTCATACAAACGCAACCGATAGACGCTTAACTGTCAATCTGCACTTTAAGAAAGTATTCCCATTGCCGAGATGTACAGCTTTAATTGGGGTAAGTTAATATACAAAAATAGGTTTATTAATATGGATCGCCTACTTTCGATCGAATATTTAAAAAGTATCTTCTTCCAGATAAACAAAATATAATGAAAACTTTGTAAACTGATGAAAAGATTCGATGCATAGGTTATTTGTCCTTTAGAACCCCACTTCTAATATTTAAATATGAATATTTCAGATAAATCGGTTGACTTATTTTTTAATTTTTAATTCACTAAGTGGAATATCTTTTACCGTATATTTCGGAAATACATTCGATTGGCGATGTGCAACCTGAAATTGGAACTCCAAAGCGAAACGAAATCCATTCACAGACTTTTAAGTGTTAAACTATTTTAAACTGTCGAATTCTATGTGAGTAATAACATGATATGTAACAAGAAAAAGGGGTTTCCTCCAACGATAAGCATTGCAGATAGTTTTCCGTGAGTGGCAGGAGATATTCCTTCACCACTTTGTGGCATTGCTGAGTGAAATTATAGAAAAGGCTTCCTTGAAGAGATGCAACAACCAAATTGTTTTTGTAAGATTGCTCATCTAAGTTCACCCATCTCTTATTGAACACCCAATGCAAATTTACTCTCATGCCAGACTGTTTGTACGAATAAGTTTTTCCTATGTTTTGTTTAAAAGAAATTGAAATAACATGTTTGCGCATTTGATATCATGGACGTCATGGGTTTCAAATTTTTATCTTTTTATTGGTATTCTCCTGTTTCTTTTGCCCATTAGAATATTATCATAATTAAGAATATATCTGAAATAATTCGAAATATTGCAGATTTTGAGGGTGAAAATAAAGAAATTTTATCGACTTATACCTGGAGATGGGGTCTAAAGATGTCAAACTTTATTCTATTTTTTTTTTTAAAGTAGCTGTTGATCTTATGTTTTGGATTGATTACAGAAGTCATGTTAAGTGGCAGTTCTTTTACTTGGTATATGGAATTTATCTGCGATGTTAATGTTGGCATTTTGAAAGACAGCAGGATTGATCAAATTGTAGAGCACGTTTTACATTTTCTTGCATTTATAAATAATTTAAAGTCTTTAATGTAAAATATATCGAAAACAGACATTCAAGACATTAGATTTGAACATTACGTCAGCATAATGTCACACCATGGATATGTTGTTAGAAATCACATAATTGTTTAATTGAAAATCAAATGAAGATTTTACACTTTTTCTAAAGATGAAGTTAAACGAATTTCCTTTATTTGTGTTGACCCATGAAATTGAGTACAACTTAGTATGAGGAACACAATTTTTCAGCCGCTGACATAGAATTATGTATTTCATCTACATTATGGCTATAAAAACAAGTTTAATCCACCGTTTTCTATAAAAGAAAATGCCTGTACTAAGTTAGGAATATGAAATTGTTTTTCATTTGTTCGGTGTGTTTGAGCTTTGATTTTGTAATAATATTAGCTAGTATATGGAACTCTCCCTCTTGAAATTTATTGGAGTTCGGATTATTTGTTATTTTGATTTTTATCTAACATTTAATGGTTTATTTAAACTTGTACAGTTTTGTAGTTAGCATGTTCTATTCAGCAACATTCAACATTATTCTACAAAATATTGAAATCACAGTCAACAATAAGTCATTTTTTTAGATTATCATCGCCCAAGTACAAAGCCCTTTTGGTTACATAGACTTTGCATGATAAGTCAATTATGCATATGTTGCTTACATGTTACTGTACAATGTTAGAAACCATTTAGGAGAACCTGATTTATTCACATGATTATTCCCTACCGTCGAGGCGTTTGACGTTATCTATCTTTTTAATGTAGTTTGATTTTTATTTTGCATTTTTGTCTTTGGTATTTACTATTTTTGGTCTTCTCTAGCTAGCACTTGACAAAAATGTAAAATCTTACCAATTAAAAAATACGATTTTGTTGGTATGCATATACATAAAGACAAGGTGATATGAGTAAAAGTAAAATAATAAAAATACAGAACTCCGAAGAAAATTCAAAACGGAAAGTCCGTAATCATACGGCAACATTTAAAGCTCAAACACACCAAACGAATGGATAACAGCTGTCACTTTCCTGACTAGAAACAGACATTTCCTTATGTAGAAAATGGTGGAAAAACCTGGTTTTATAGTTATCAAAACCACTCAATTTTATGACAGTCGCATGAAACCTGTCAGAAACACAAGCCTTACAATCATATCATAAAGTTTATGAATACATTTAGCGAGAATTTAAATAGGAGCTTTGATCATCATACATATTTCCAAAAGCAGTATATGGTTTCGGAAAAAAAAAATTTTTGTTAATACGACAAACATTGAATTTATGTATATTTTGAAAGTGGTATTTCTAATATTTCAGAGTTCAAGCTTTTCTTTCAAAATAGCATCATCTAAAAGCTTTGGAAACTATTACGAGGTAATTTTTAGCCATCAATCTTCAGAGAAAATAATGTGCGATGAGAAAGTGATGGTAAAATGTATATTAATACAAGAGTACACCATTCCAACAGAGGATCTCCGGGTATGCTCTTTAAAAGGTATTTAAACTAGAAGAATGCTTATTATTTAGAAAATAAACGATATTATTTCATATCGGTTAAGAATAAGCTTCTCTCATTGGATGAAAAGAGGCCACAAGACATTCTTTATTCTTTAGTAATACATTCCATCGGTCTTTAACAGAACAAAACGGAGCAGAAAATCGGTCGTTAACGAACTTTTACATGTTAATGACTGGTGGGGCGTGGTTTTTCTGTTAATTACCTGTAGGGCGTGGTTTCTCTTTAAATGACCGTTGGGGCGTGGTTTCTTTGTTTAGAGAGATGTCTCTCAAATAAAACATTTTCCTGTTTTCAATTTTCTATTTAAGTTGTTGAATTGTTTACCATATGTTTTCGTAAATTATAAAATAATAGAAAACTTTATTTAGTATTCATATGCACTTAAATGAATGGCAGTGACTTATAGTTACATGTATTACTACGACTGGTTTTCCCTCTTTGCTATAGAAATCGTACAGTAACTCGAGTTTGCTTTGAACATTTAGAATTTATGAAAATTTGTAAAAACATGGTTCCTCAATGAAATCAACATAATAGTTATTGAAGAACTGGTCATTATAGTAATACATGGACTATAACTATTATGTAAGTATCAACATATTGACCATTTGATATATAAGAACTTTTCCCAACGAAATCAGTAACAAATTATTGGAAATGAACTAACTACTGTTCTTTTAACTCAAAAAATACAAAATGTTGTAAAGGAGACATACCACATCTCCTTATTGTTTATTGTTTCTTTCTTTAATCACTTTTTAATATATTGCGTAGAAAGTGTAGTGGGAATGTTTGGGTTCAAATTCAGAAATTGAATACATTTTAAAGTTATTGGCAATTAAAAAAGATACGGTGCTCATATCATTCTTGATTTTTTCATGAACAAATTATAAAAATGTATGTGACCAGTGACAAATTAATAGAGAATAAAGATGCATATAAGTGGTTTTCGTTTTCGTAACATCAACTTATTTGTATTCTGTTTCGAAATGTCTAACTATCTTTTGCCACAATTGCAACTATTCCTTTTTTTCAGGAAAGTTCACTGCAATCCGGATCCTTTCAGTCACTTATGCATGGTTTCTGTTTATGCACGGGTGCTATATTAGGCTTGTATTTTTTTTAAATCAAGCACTCACCGAAGTTAACAATTATAATGCACATATACATTTGGTAAATGTTAAAGTTGCTTTTCACGAGATTTCTGGTTTTACAAATGCTGTATATACATGCAAAGACATTGATGCGGTCTTTGAAAAGAAACTCTTTGTTAAATACAAATGTTATCAAAACAAACATAAAGCATAAAAATACTAAAACAAAAACTATTCGATTATAGTAAAAAGACGGCATCAGGTAACACAACATATAACTATAACAGGACGAGCGTATACGTAACAATATCAATTTGGCGGAATTTTAACTCTGTCATTATTCATAATGGGGTGTCTCAGTATATTATGTTGCAAACATATTTTGTCTTATATAAAAGATAGGTGACACTAGTTAACCTTGACAGTGTTGTTCTTTTCGGTTATCTGTATGATATAATCATATAATCGTGAGTTTACAAAAACGTCTTAAATATATGTTGAGATGTGTATTTTGTTTTAAATTCTTTAACGTTCTTAAAATTTCATCTGTATTTAAATTGCAAGACGATGAATCGAATGGTACGGTTTTCATTATAAATATGAAGATTAAAATTTCATTCCTTCGACAGGATATTCATTGTGGACTATTATTCTCATTAGATGTACATTAATGTTTCCGTCAAAATATTGCGTTCTCTTTGCAGAAACACTTTGATCATTCGAAGTAGATCACGAATGTTCATGATAATACACATCTATAATCAAATGATATCGCAATTGGCTCATATTTAGATTGGGTGAATACTTAATGTGTACGCAAGGCATCAAAGCGTTATTAAACAATGGTCTCGATCTAGAAATCAAAGCAAATATTAGATAAATTCAATTTACCTTCTGTCATCAATTTTTTTTAGGAATATAATTATTCCATTGTTCACAACAGGCTTAACGAGTATAATGTTTGTGTTTAAACGAAACCATATTTTATCCCAATCTATTGTTGTGAATCGAGAACAAGAACCTTTCGTCAGTGAAGCATTATAATAATATTCCGAAAGTAGAAATGTCTCGTTGCATAAGTTGACAAATTAGCAACACTGGCAAGTACAGTTTTGTTTTGTTCAGATCAACTGCTCATGATGATTGCTTTTGTTTCTGCTGAGAAGTTATATTCTTTCTATTTGAAAATGAAACTGCACAATTAACAGTCTCAGTATACATGTTATGTTATTCTTCTTTTTCAGAAAGTTTATCCAAAGAATTAAAACTTATATTACTTGGTACATGCATTCCTATATTTCTGATCGTCATATTTGTTTTATTTATGATAATCTTGAAAAAAACGAAAACATCACATGAAGATGGTAAGTATACTTGAATTTTGATTTTGTCTAGAAATGCTTCCTGAAAATAGTAATTGATCATGACAATGTAAACTGTAATTTGGTGTCTTCGTGGATAATAGTATTTGCTGTTTGATTTTTAAAAGTTAATATTGCGAATGATTTGATACTTAAGAAATCCTTCAATATTTCTAGTTGTAATCGAGTTACATATAGCTCTCTTTTTTGACCATCCTGTGTGCCGTTGAGATAATATTTTCATACAATTGACTTTCTTTTATTTAAAACAAATATCGATGTAATGCTTCTTTTTCTTACGGAATGTTCACGAATAACTATCTTATCTTTCATGGAAGTTTCCTTTTGCTTTCGAATGCGCTTGGTGACATAATCATGAAAGAAAAATTCCATTTGAACATGTTGAAATGCAAAGTCAATATCTGGATTAAGTATATAAACAGAAAAAAAATTCCATTTGAACATGTTGAAATGCAAATTCAATATCTGGATTAAGTATATAAACAGAAAAAAAAATTCCATTTGAACATGTTGAAATGCAAAGTCAATATCTGGATTAAGTATATAAACAGAAAAAAAATTCCATTTGAACATGTTGAAATACAAATTCAATATCTGGATTAAGTATATAAACAGAAAAAAAAAATGAAATCATAATTATGCTTTTTAGATATTTTTTTTTTTTATAGAAAATTGAAAAGAAAACCCAGAAAAAAATTGTTTCTTTTTTATCAAACTATTTCAGACCACGATTGGGAGATTACCAATTTTCATCAACTCATACTGTCCTGTTTTCTAACGAAGGAAAGAGGAAGCAACTGGAACAGCAGCATGAGGTCTAGCACAACCAGCAAACCTCTCGATAAATTAGATCAAACGGAAGCATGCCTTAATAGTGAGAAAAGTAGGTGTAATTACCTGAACTGTTAACTGTTAGGAGTTTTTGGTTCACATTATAGGGGTTCATTCCACGAGTGTCACCATTACAGTTGTGAGTATTTTTTTTTCGTATCAGGGAAATACGACGATGCTTTGATGCAAAATTCACCTGCCTAACATAATTGAATATCCAAGCAAGTTTGAAATATACATGCATATATGTTTTCTGATATGTTAGGTATAAAATGAGTAAGCAACACAAAATTTTAAATGACAAAAAAACATCAAATGATACTTACGGTACAAATTCTACTACAGCAGATGCGCTTTTCGACAAAAAGGTCTCTTAATTGATGCTCGAAGCTAAAAATATATAAAAGTCCAAAACCTATTGAAAGCATGGTAAAGACGAAGAGTGACACAAGAAAAGTCAAACATAGTCAAAATATGAGAACTATGCATGAAGGAGATACAGTAAATTGAAATAAAAACATTATCTCTATTTTCGTACTAGTACTTAAATGAGAATATACTGCTGTTTAGTTTCTAAAACAATAAACAGATTTCTATATAATCTGTCATAACGAGTCTCAACTCTAAAACATTTGTGGACGTTAATCTAATATATGCAACATAAACATATGCTAGTATATGACGTAAAGCCTGGTATGAAAACTTCTTTGTTTCTAAAAATAAGAATAGCAATATACTGTATTTTAAACATTCTATGATTTTAAGGCAAGTTTTTTTCTGAATTTATTGCTGTTGTTTTTATAGATGGAGAAAGCAAAAGTAATACGAAATCAGAAATCACTGAACATTTCCTAATAGGGACTTCAGAGTATCAAGGGGAATCAGGAGATACGCTGAATGGAGTTTCAGTAAACAGTTCGAAGGAAATTGACATTTTGTGTTAATTGTCCTTAGTTGCCAAATGCTTTTCTGAAATATTGTACAACTTCTAAATGATAGAAAAAGAAATCAGGGGAAGGAGATCTCAAAACAGAAACAAACAAAAAGATACGAATCCAAGAAAAACACGATGACCAAAAAAAAAACATCCATAACGATCAACCCGCCGAGTAATAATGGCATCCGTAAAACTTTCGTACACATGACATTAATTTTGCCATCAGGAGATATTGGCTCAGTTTCTACAAATTGGACGATGAAAACCAAAAAAAAAAAAAAAAACTAAAAATGCTTTTGCGGAATAAGTTTGTTTTTTTCCCATGGTCATGATTTGTTTGAGCTGATTTGTTATATTCGTCTGTCCTATGTGTTATTGTTGATATAATGAAACGCAAAAAAGGATAAATAACATTGCCAAAGATACTGTAAATTCAGAAATTATTGCGATGATTTTATTATTGCGACAAATGCGACAGGGTTATAATCGCAATAATTTAAACTCGCATTTTGAATTTTTTTATATGAATTAAACAGGATTTTTCTTAATATCGCAAAAATTAAAATCGCATTTTAGTCTAAGATGACAAAATCGCAATAATAAATGCACGCAATAATTTCTGAATTTACAGTATTGCATAGTTACTTAATTTTGTCTAGGTTTAATTATTTTTATGTAAGTGTTTTGTTCCCGTTGTTTTGAATAATTGATAAATATATATTGTACGATTCTGGCATTGTGCCTTTTTGTTTTTCAATGTATGTGTTTTTTACACAGGTAAAAGTCTGTTGTTGTCTCTTTGACATATTTCCCTTTTCTATTCTATATTCTATAATCTATCATTTGTCATGAAAAACGTGTTATACTGATATATATATATATCAAATTTTCACAGTTAGTTAAGTTTCATAACATTTACTTTCTGATTGTTTATTAATTTAGTGATGTTTAAGGGTTTGATAAGAGTCAATTTCCAATCCCACAATTTTGCGATGATTAATCATTTGATAAACCTATCAACGTATTGTTTTAGAAGTCACTCGGCTAATGTTGCATGTGGACCAGGATCTGCTTATCCTTCCAGAACACCTGCGATTACCACTGTTTTTGGTGGGGTTCGTGTTGCTCAGTCTTTAGTTACCTATGTTGTTTTTTTTGTGTACTGTTGTTTGTTTTTTCAGCGTAATTGCCGTGGCCTTGTGAGTTTGATTATTTCTTATTTTTTTTCACCTCTCGCTTTCTAAATAATATGAAATATTCAAGTTATTTTTTATAAAGTGTCAAGCGTTGCGTTGCAACTCATGATTTTTTTATTTTTTATTTTGTCTTGACATTTACATATGTTAATTTGTTTTGTAAACATGTATTTGTATACATCTTGTTGTTTGCAAATACTTTTTCTAGAGTTCTTGTAAAAGAATCATTGGTATTTAGTGATTGTTAATTAATATCATCTTTCATATGGCATGTGTAGCAAGACTTATATTTATTCATGTATAACTTCACAGAATATAATGTACTCAATAAGAATATAATGTACGGACTTAGACTGCGTCATGGTATAAGTGGAATAGATCATTCAATTATATGGCAAATTCATGAATTACTAATATTTTTTTTCCTTTTACCCTTTAAATTTGGTTTTTACTTTAAGGATATTATACAATTGATGAACTAAGGCTGTATCCCAAAATGCTTTAAGATTTAGTGTTAGTCTCCTAGATATCATGAGCTTTCTTTGGATTTAGAAAAAACGCCCACTATTTATTGGCATATACTAAATAATAAATTGTATATGGAGGAACACTATTTATCTATATTTTTGTTAATAATTGTGATACACTGCATAAGTTTGTGTCATTTATTACGGTAGAACATTAATGTTGAATTAAGGTAGCACAATACAAAAGCAACTAAATTTTATCAAAATTTCATTTTCAGCTGTTTTTGTTACTTCTTAATATTCCAAAACCACAGAAGAAAAATTCATTTACATATCTTGAACTGTTAATGAGTTTTGATGATAATTAGTTTTATAAACAAATGCACGTGTCTGACTGATACAAGATAAGAACATGTGGGTAGTACTATGTGGTTATTCAATAGAATCATTTGATAGCTTTATGACCACTGACCAGCAATACAAAAAACAGTTACGAAAAAGAGGTGGATTAGGGATTAATGGAATAATTAAGATAATGAATAAAAATAAAAATACATTTCATTATTGGAGCTGCCAGGAGAAAAAAAAAGTAACAATTTGGAGATATAGAGTGAATCAAAATATAAATGTACAGAAATTAAACAAATGTAATTGTATAACAATTAATGTAATGGAATGTCTTGGGGGAGAATGTTTAGATGTGAATTCTTTTCAAAAGAAAATACAAATCAAATATTTCATTTTCAAACTGCAAAATTGAACAAAATCTCCTATGTGTAAAACACCATATTGTCCTTGTATACAATTACAATTCTAAAAATCCCCCATAAGGATCCCCTAAACTAACAAACTGATAATTTTGTATACACATGCATAACTTACTTTTTGTAACAAAAAAAACAAAATATATTATGTTATGTTAAATGAATAAAATCCATATTGAAAAAAGTAAATGCAATGTGTAATTAAACTTCTGAGATCATTAGTAGTAAATGTTTATCATGGTGGGCGGAGTTTTGATCATATCAGTAGCAACTGACTTAAAACAAGGTCAATAATGATATAACATCTCCCGCCAGATCCGGTTTCGGTGCATAGGGTGTGCATTATCTCTATATATTTAGAATTGCTGAAATTGAATGCTTTCTTACTGGTCAAAACCTAATTGATTTATGATTGAAGGCCAATCCCGAAATATCCAAATGGCACATGTGTGAATTATATTGAAGTTAATGGGGTACAAGTAGGAAAATCCTTATTTATTCAATTGTGACACATTCATTTTTGTCATGAAAATGTAGTTTTAAATGAATTTAGCTCCTAGATGGGTGCCCCTATATGTCTGATTTTCACACATGTTGTTTCTTGACCAGTTATCTTCAAAAGGGTGTCTCAGATTTCCAAAAACATCAATAGAACAAATTTTATACCCAATTAAATTTAGTGATCTCTTATGAATTTAAGTTGCAAACTTCATTGAATGTTTATGAGAGAATGAAATACAATAGGAAATATCTGAGACACCCTTTTGGAGGTCAAACTGTGGTATACAAGAATCTATAAAATATTTTGGGATGCTATGAATAACAAAGAAGCTTTTTTTTCAAGTGTGGACATCTCAATATAGCAACTAATTACATAATAATTAATTATGTAATAATTATGTCAAATTGACATTTTCACCATTTGAAAGATTATTCTTTCTTCTTTCTTTTGGTACCTCATTTATAAAATTTAAAGCTGGATGAAAGAAATTACATCAGTTTAAAGTTGTCTGATTGGGGTTGAAAAAATCTTTGTATTGTGCTACCTTAAAAGCATTCATATGTGACTCTCGTTTCTTCCATATTTAACACACGTTTTATATCATCTTTTGATACACTTTATAATTTTTAAATTACATTCACATATTGTATCAAATATTATTATATTGATTATATTTGCTTCAATTATCTTTATCTACTGTAAATATTAGAAATTGATGATTATGTCTGAAGTTTCTAAAACAAAAAAGAAAGTAAAGTAAATGGAGCTTCACGACTGACATTCAAATGTTATCCATACTGTAAAAAACTTACCAAACTGTGTAATATAGATGTTCAATTGACTGTAGGTTATGATCCTTATGGCTTGATGGTTATATGTAAATAAAATGAAACACATTATTTACATTGCTTAAATCAAAGACGAAGATTTACATTTGAAAAATTATAGTGCTGAAATCTTTACCATGACAGCTCTACATTATTTACATCGTTTAAACTTAAGACGAAGATGTACATTTGGAAATTTAAAGCTCTTAAATCCGTAGAGAGACAGATTTTTCATTACAAAACCTATTTCATATTTACCAGCAGTGTCTCTGTACTGGCATTCTTTTTATCAATTGTTGTAGTTTATAAATTACATTAAAAAGGGAAGAAGGATTCCAAGGGAAACCACAATTAAAAGAAAACACCCAATGCCATTGTCTAAAAAAAAGACGATGACAAAGATGTAATTATAGGATCAAACATTCGCTGGCAAAGTTAGCGTTTGGCAAATCTGCATAGACCTTTACGAGTTAGACACTCAAAAATATATATTCGTGTATTTAACGTTTAAAGTTTTGGTCTGATTCATAATGGAGGGAAATTGTGTCTAAAATTTGTTTACCCTTCAACATTTTGTATCATCGAGTTTGACTTTACATCTTATCAAAATTATTGACATAGCTTATGTATTTGGTGAATTAAGCGGATATTTTATTGTAATTTTAAGTAATTTGCAAATTCCAATTCTTCATACTGAGTTTTGTTTTAGATCTTTATATTCATGTAATATTTTTGATTTTTACTTTGTTATTTTGATAGATATCATTATTTTAATTATTATTATACTTTTTATAATAATCATGATTTTAATATTTTTTTTCTATCTTTATAATAAAATACCAACATGAATTTATCTTTCCCGTTTATTTGAAGTATTTTCTCACAACTGAGTTTATCACATGCTTGTAATTAGAGATACAAATAAACGGAGTTGTTGGTTATACGTCAATCAAACAGAAACCTAGCAAAAGTAAAATAACAAACATACCGAACGGGAAGTCCCAATCATTTAACAAAAAGACTTAGTTGCATTCATGTTATATATATTAGATATTATTTATCAGATTCTTATATTTTGGGAAAAAAACCAATTCATTAAAAGATAAAATATTAATGCAATGATAAACAATGATAAACAAACTATAAATATGACATATTACTTTTCCGAACCTACCAATTTGTTCAAGATCAGGATTATATCTATTTTGGTCATATTGCTCGTGACAGCAAGTGTTATGGTATATTTACTTTAAACTATAGTTTTAATTCCCACAAGCATATTCAACCTAAAATGAATATAGCTATTCTTAAGGCCCTTTTGTTTGTATAAGTACCTTACCTTCTTGTCTTTAATGTTGTTATTGAGCGTTCCTTTTTTATTGTTAATTAAGAAAAGTGCCTCGGACAGACAAAAGTTATAAAGGGTTATTTTCATTTTCAATTTCTAGCACAGGGCACACACCCCTGCTGCTAGAGAGTAAGTCCCGAAGGTATAATCAGCTCATTCGTCAGTTCTGATATAATTTATAACAAACCTTTTTAAAATTATCTAACAAGTTTTCGTTCCTTATTGTTAATTTTCCTTTTTTGGATAGTGATGTTCCTTTGGCACCATCTTACGGTGTTTATATATCAAAACTCGTTCGCTATGCCCGTGTCTGTTGTTTGACGTTTTGGATTTTAATGAACGTAATCTATGTTTAAATGGTAAATTATTAAGTCAGGGAATTCGTTACCACAAATTACTTAAAACCTTTACTGAATTCTTCCATAGATATAAATATTTGGTTTTGAAATTTGGTTGTACCTGTAGAAAGCTTTTTTCAAACAGGATAGCGCATCCTCATTTTTACGGAGATGTTGTTTACCGAGTCCGGAAATTTAGAGACGATCCGAGTAAATTTAACGATCCTTTAAATAATCTTATTCTAAAAGGTTACTCGTTCAGCACTGTAATTAGATCTTTGAATATTGTTTTTATTGGTATTAATATTGATTTTGTTATCGGTAAATTTAAATCAAACTAAATGTTATAATTGTTATATACATATGCACATTCATGGCACTACAATCTGTCAATACCTGTATCTTGGCATTGCAAAAGGTCATGCTTTTCTCTGACTGTTTATGACGTCTTTAGAGTACATACAATCTAAGACTCTCTCATCTCGCAATAGTATTAAAACATTTGACTTTTCTACACTTTACACAAGTATTCCCCATTCCAAACTAAAAGACAAATTGAAAGAGTTGGTATTATTTTGTTTCATTTAAAAGAATGGCGAACGTAGATATAAGTATCTTGTCTTGGGAAGGGATAAATCCTACTTTGTAAAGAATCACTCTGATTCAAACAAAAAATTTTCTGAAACTGACATTATCAAGATGCTTGATTTCTTGATTGACAACATATTTGTTACGTTTGTAAGACATGTTTTTCAACAGACTGTCGGAATTCCAATGGGAACCAATTGTGCCCCTCTTCTTGCCGACTTGTTTCTTTATTATTATGAGACTGACTTCATAGAGAAACTTCTTGGGAAGAAAGATAAGAAGTTAGCAATATCCTTTAACTTTACGTTCCGTTATATAGATGATGTTCTCTCACTAAATAATACAATATTTGGTGACTATGTTGAACGAATCTATCTAACTAGAGATAAAGGATACTACAGATACAGTTAAGTCTGCCTCATATCTTGACGTACATCTAGAAATTGACAATGAGGGTCGGTTGAAAACAAAACTTTACAACAAAAGAGATGATTACAGCTCCCCAATTGTGAACTTTCCATTTCTATGTAGCATCATTCCAGTAGCGCCTTCATACGAGGTATAATTCTCCCAATTGATACGATATTCCCGGGCTTGTATTTCCTGTCATGATTTCCTTGATAGAGGATTGCTGCTCACAAGGAAGCTACTAAACCAAGAGTTCCAAATGGTGAAGTTGAAATCATCCCTTCGTAAATTTTACGGACGCCATCACGAGTTGGTTGACCGTTATGGAATAACCGTTTCGCAATTGATATCGGATATGTTCCTTATGTCGCAACTACAATACCCTTCCCTATTCACGAATGTGACCTACTGAATTAGACTATTTACCGGATTTGTAAATACATAAGCAACACAACGGGTGCAACATGTGGAGCAGGATCTACTTACCCTTACGGAGCACCTGAGATCACCCCCAGTTTCTGGTGGGGTTCGTGTTGCTTAGTCTTTAGTTTTCTATGTTGTGTCATCTGTACTATTATTTGTCTATTTGTCTTTTTATTTTTGGCCATGGCGTTGTCAGTTTGTTTTTGATCTGTGAGTTTAACTGTCTCTCTGGTATCTTTCGTTCCTCCTTTACACTAAAACTATTAGATGTTGGATGTGTACTGATTGATAATTTAGTCGTAGATGCATGATTGTTTTTAATTAGTTGTTATTGGCTTTGAACTAGCTGTCAGTAACTGCGAGTACTCTCAAATCTGTACTTAGTGTCTTTTTGTTGTTGGAATGTACAATCTGTGTTTTTGCTAGATGTATTTCTACTTGTATCCATCTGATGAGTTAAGCATTTTTCAACTGATTTTTATAGTTTGTTCTTATGTTGTACTGTTACACCACTGTCCCAGGTTAGGGGAGACTTAGCGCCTTCGAACTAGTTTAAACCCGCATCATTCTATATTTGCCTGTCCAAACTCAGGAACCTATAATTTAGTGGTTGTCTTTTTTTGCTGTTTCTCATATTTGTTTTGCGTTTATTGTTTTGCATAGTTTGTTCTTATGTTGTACATGTTGTACTGTTACACCACTACCCCAGGTTAGGAGGAAGGTTTGGCACCAACAAAACTAGTTAAACCCCGCCACATTCTGTGTGTGCCTGTTCCAAGCCAGGAGCCTGTAGTTCAGTGGTTGTCGTTTGTTGCTGTGTTACATATTTGTTTTTCGTTCATTATTTTGTACATAAATTAAGCCGTTAGTTTTCTCGTTTGAATTGTTTTACATTTGTCATTTCGGGGCTTTTTATAGCTGAGTATGCGGTATGGGCTTTACTCATTGTTGAAGGCCGTACGATGACCTATAGTTGTTTATTTCTGTGTCATTTGGTCTCTTGGGGAGAGTTGTCTTATTGGCAATCATACCACATCTTCTTTTTTATAAGCTAGTAAATATAGAACATCTTCTTTTATTATAGTTCTGGAAACCAATACATACAATAGTAAATCACCAAAATCGTGTTTTGAACTTCGCTTGCAAACAGGGGAAACAATAAAAAAGGAAAATCAAAACTTTAAGTAATTGTAAAAAAAAAAGAAAACACTAATGTAAAATAAATTGTCTGAATATCCCCACACAGAATACATAAAATTAATCATTTCGTGCTTCAATTGTGGTACCAGACATATTAGACATGATAA